TGTAGCCAGCCATGGAGCTGGAGTGCCTGAAGATCGTGAAAGTTCCCAACCTGCTGGGTAGAGTGCACCTGGAGACTTTTGTCTACCTGTCCTTTCTCCTGTGCAGTAAGCTCTGTGCTGAGACTGGCGTTCTTTATTTCTTTTAAATTGGAAGGCTTTTTCATATGTAAGTATATGTAGTTATTTAAATTACATTTAAATAATTGCCATGTTTTAAAAATTTGGGCATTTATTCAATGAGTAGTTAAGGAGCAACTGTTCTGTACTGCATGCTATGTTCAGGGATACAAAGGTGAATAGAATGGAATCTTTTCCCTAAAAGGATTCACATTCTACAGAGAATATCACATCTGATGTTCCTATTGATATAGATTTTTAGAAATGGAGATGACTGTCTCTGATGAACTTCCCATATTAGGTGAGTTGGAATTAGGCTAGGAGAGAAATTAAAATGCAGCTAGTCCTACATAATACTTACTAATCATTGTTTTATCTACATTAGAAGTTCATATTTATTGTAGAGAAGTAAATGACTTCTTGCTATTTTGACCTCTAAACATGTTTTACCTATAACTGGTTTGATCCTTGTCTTTCTTTGCCTTGTTTGTTCAGTGCTGAAATCCTAAGCCATGTGTAGGGGATCAGGCAGGAGGGTGTTGTGCAGCAGTGTAATTATTCCCCACAGTGCTTTGTTTCATTGTATGTGTTTGAGGCTGTTGAGGGAAATGGTCCAGGTCAAGGACTCTGTAATTTTGTATAATATGGTTTTCAGATAAATAAAATGTACCTTGCTTGGACAGGTTTGCTGACAAAGTCTGCTACCAATTATCATGATTTGTGCTGTTAGTGTCTGTCATTCTTTTACATTAGTGAGAAGCTGAGCATTATTTAGTTGTAAAAACAGTGGTTAGTTCAGCTCCATTACATTTATTCAGCATTTGTTGACTGCTTCCTCTAGCAGACCATTATGGCAAAATCCCTTCCATTAAGGAATTACAGTGAGTGTAGCAGGAGAGATTGAGAAACAAAACAGTGACTGAACAATGCATTCTGTCATGAGAGGTATATAGGGGCTGTGGAATTCAAAATAAGGGGAGCTTTTCAATTTCCTTTAATTAGATTTAATAAAGGCTTCATGGCATATACAGAAATGGGGTTTAAATATCCTTTAAGGATAAAAAGAGTTTTGAGAGAGAAACATTTGAGAGGATAGACAGGTAGAGGGAATATGTTAAAAACCAAGGCATAAATGTTGGAAAGTGAAGGCCCAGTTTTGGGAACAGTGTGAATGAGACTTAGGTCATGTGTCTAGAAAACAGTAGAAATATATCTGGAAATGTTGAAGTTAGGTGGAGGTAAATTATACTGATTTTCACACCTATAACCTTCACCCAAACATATCTCAGGAAACCACGTTTTTTGTATGTTCTTTTTAGAAGAACAGAAAGTTCTGGATAATTTAATACCAGTTTATCACCTTGATGAATGATATAGATGCAAATCCATCTGATATCTTCTACCTTAAACAAGAGTGACTAGCAGATGAGCTGTCTATAGCCTAGTCAGAAGGGAAAGCAAGTGAAATGGTGACAATTTGAGGTGTGTGTGTATGTGCAGATATAAATATAGATAGAGTTCAATGTTTCAAAGGAGGTTATCAGATCAATTTTTAATCTGTGGCCCCAAATTCCTAATTATAGCTCTGTATCCTGCATATTAAAATGTCCATGTCATGGACAGCCTAGTCAAAGCAGTCTCATCCAGGAAATGTGTATGAGGAAAGGTAGTATATGGAAAAAAGAACAAACTAAGAAACTCAAGAAGTAGTTTGTTAGTGAGTGGGAGAAAGAAAACGCTGTGAAGATAGAAGGCTTCTAGTGGAATGGTGTAAAGAATCTTTGTCCTCTGCATGTAACCCCAGGCAGTTGAAAACAGCTCTTAGAACTATAAATTAATGAATTAGGCTTATTGATAAGATCACTTAAGGCCCTGTTTAATAATACATCCAAAAAGCTGAACATCAGTAGTACTGATATTTCAGGGGATATTTTTAATATTCATAACATTTTAAATGAATTCATTATTAAATATTTAATATGGGCACAGCATTGAATTCAATTGAAAGAAACTTTTCTAAGTATATTTTAGAAATCTATTAGTTATGAAAATTTCCCATTGTCCTTTTATTGCCTTGACAATCTATAGGATCTTTGAGTCTGCTTTGGTAATTAGTGTTGGTAATGGTGATTTGTTTTTACTTTATACAATAGTAAAAAAGCACAATCTTTTTCTATCTGTCCAATAATTAGATTTTCTTTGCTTATCTGAAATAACATCTTGAAGAAGCAGATCTATTAAAATGTTGCAATAGGTTTAGACAAATGTTTGTTTATTATAGAGGCAAAATTATGGAACAGTTTGGATTCAAATAAATAATGTTTAAATTCTAGTATTATACATATGTGTTTATATACACATATGTATGCATTTTTAAATATTCAAAATCTTTAAAATTTAAAATATTTTATATATTTTTAAAGTAATATGCCTATATTAAGACAATTTAATCAACTGTGCAAGCAGTGGCTATTTTCCTAATAATAGTTTCCTCTTACCTCATGAAGTTAAACCTTTATAAAATATATAAGCCAAAGTGACCAACTTGATAATAAGAAATATATGCTATATTTTTTTCTGCTGTAGTTTGCATCATACTATCTTAAACATTCATGATTCTTAGTAATCATTACAGTAATATGAGAATTATCCATTGGAGTATTTAAATTTAAAGATTATTGTGTAGAATCTTTCTAGAGCTGTAGGGGATAGTTTTTCTCCAGTCACCTTATTTCTGTATCTGTATTGTAAACTAGTTGTGGGCAGACTATAATGCTTGTTTTTGTTAATAGAATCATGCTTGATAAAGAAATAGAGGAGCATCCTTTAGGGTAGATTGTAGTGTACACATAACTGACTGCGAGAGTGAGAGATTACTTAAAACTTACTCTTTGCTCACCCTTTCCTTAAAATTCCCCCCTGGTTTGTTTTCTATCCTTTATTTCTTTTATGATCTTCTTTTCCACCTACTCCTTAAACATAAATTTCTAACATAGCAATTACTGCCTTCTAATACTCAGATGAATCACTGCTATTTTTGACCACCCAGGGCAAGAAAAGTTAGCTTCATGGTCGCTATGAAGAGGGATTTTATCCCTTCCTGTCTCCTTTGCTTCCTTTTTTCCTTTTCCTTCCTTCTTTCCTCCCTTCCTTTCTGTCCACCTCTCTCTCTTTATTTCTTTTAGATATTTTTCCACTCCTCTTAGTAGAGTCTAGCATGCTATTGGAGCTCATATGCATTCACGAAGCAAATGGATTTCCAAGGCCTCTGTACTTTTCTCACTGCACACTCTTTATATGGTTGTATCATTCTCATGGTTTCAGCTCCCCTATATGCAAATGGATATTAACATATCTAGCTACAGGCCAGATTTCTTTACCAAATTTGAGACTGTTAATCTCAGTGTGACTAAAACCATAGATATTATCTCTTTGCCAAACCTAGTTCTTCTTTACCAAAATACCAAGTTAGACAGTCAGAGTCACTTTTATTTTACATCCTGTTCCCGTCCTCAGCCAAGCACCAAATCTCCCTTATGTCTAATAATCTACATCCCAAGTATTTCTCAAATCTGTTTCCTTTAATCAAATGTTCTATTTTAGTTCTCTGATACATTGTCATAACTTATATTGTAACTGAGTGCCTTCCTTCAAATTCTTACTCTGTATAACTCCCAGAATTGTTCCTTTAAAATGTGCTTTTGACAGTGTTACTCTTCAGTCTAAAATTACTTTGATTACCTTTTCAAAATAGGTTAAAGCCCACTGCTTTTAGCAAGTCTCGTGAGGCCCTCAATCATCTGTTCCTTGATTCCTGTTCAACTGCATTTCCTATCACTCTCTGCCTCAGACATCATTCAGATTTCTTCATGTAAGATGCTGTTTCTCACCTTCAATCTTTTGTACCAGCTTCCCTTAAGTACCCTTCACCTTTCCCATTTACCCAGACAACTCTCATTTATCCTTTAAGACTCATCTCAAGAGTAGCTCCTTCAGATTCTCTTATCTAAACTTTGACTTGTTTTAAGTGTCCTTCCTCAGTGCTTCTAAAATACACTTCGCAAACGTCTATAACCACACTCACCATATTAGTGTAGAATTATCTATGTTCATCTGTACCCTAGACTGAAATCTTTGAGGAGAGCAACTACCTTACTCAATTCTGTATTCCCAATACCTAGCATAGGGCCTAGCACTTGCTCAATGTATATTGGTTGAATGAACGAATAAATAAGGGGTTGGAGGAGTACCTTTGCTTAGGGTAACTTCATCATATCAAAGATGTTGCCTCCTGTTGCAAGGTAGGATGGAACAACATTGAGCCTAGGAACCAGGAATATTATATTTGGCAAAGAAAGAAAAGAAAATTTCTCTAGGCCCCAGTTTTCCCATTTATAAAATGAGTATGTTGAACACCATGATTTCATTCTTCCTTGTAGGTTTAAAATTTTGCCTGCACCCTAGGGTAATTTGGCAATGTCTGTAGACATTTTGATTCTCACAACTAACGCTCTAGTGGGTAGAGTCCAGGGATGCTGCTGAACAACCTACACTCCACAGAGGCAGCTCCCTGCCAACCTCCCTGCCCCAACACTGAAATGAGAAACTCTGCTTTATTTGCTTACTCTGCCTGTTTTGCCTGTTTTTATTGTCACTGGCAGACATTATATTACATAACTATTGTTTCTGCTGCCTCTCTCTCTTCCACAAGATGTCAAGTTCTATGGAAAAGCAGACATTTTATCTTAACTAGTTCAGTCATTACATATGTATGTCTTCAGTGAATGAGTAAATGACTGAATGGCAAAATATAACAATGCGTCTGAACTGTTCATTAAACAATAACATAGGTAATTTGCTGTTCTTTTATTTCTTATTAACAGGACGGGAGAACAGGAAAACTTGACTGCTCCTTGTAATACCAATTGTAACTGCTTGCGATCATATTATTATCCTGTCTGTGGAGTAGACGGAATCCAGTATTTTTCTCCCTGCTTTGCAGGCTGTAAAAATACGAGTTCAAAAAGAAGTCCAAAGGTAACTTGTATCTGATACTTTACAGAAGTGAATAAGTGTGTTTGTATATTTGTGGATGATGTCTCTATCCTCTAACAGAGTTAGTGCCAATTCTTTTCCTCCTGGACCACCTCCTCCATTCCGAAGGCAGACATAAAGTTCCTGTCAAGTAAGATGAATAAACTCTAGAGATCTGCGGTACAACATTGTACCTATAGTCAACAATAATGTAGTGTACACTTCAAATTTGCTAGTAGGGTAGAGAGAACGCTAAAAAGGTCACTGGCCAATCTAACTGAAAAATACTCTTCCTTTAAATCTCAGATGCAATTATTATTGAAAAACCACTGTGGTCATTACTCATATACATCTTTGTAACATCACTTCTGTTATAATAGTTTTACAATTGTTTTATTTTTTCTCAACTAAACTTTATGTTCCTTGAAGTCAGGGAACTTCTATTGTTACTAAATATAGTGTATGTAATAAAAGCATAATAAGTGTTGCTTTTATTTGATGGGCCATGGAATCATTTCAAAATATTCAAATCATTAGCTCATTCTAAAATACAAACTTACTTTTAACTATTAGAATGCATATCAATTTACCTAGATATAGTTTGTTTTTAATTCAAGTTAGTTTAAGAGAGTCTAATAGAATTTTATTGTCTGCATCTACAACCTAAAGATTTCATCTTAGTTAAATTTAAGAGCCTTGGGGAAAGTAATATTCAGATTACTAGTAGTACATAATATGTTATGCATTAATAGATAATGTGATAACTTAAAAAAAGCCCGAGGGAAATACATACCATGATATAAGAGACAACAATGAATAAGATATGTAAGAATTATATGAGTAAATTATGTGACTAAATTACACAATCTTGAATATTTGAAATATGGAATAGTGAAATGGCATTCTTTTTCATATATAAAGATAAATTTAAGATTGCTAGAAAATAGCTCCACAAAAAGGTAGAAGTAATTAATTGAAATAATCTAAAAATTACTTCAGATTTCTTCTAAAACTAACAAGATGTGTGTGTGTGCATGCTGTGTGTGTGTGGTGTGTGGTAATATACCTTTATATGTTCATGTATATACACAGAAATAGTGTGTGTGTGTGTGTGTGTGTGTGTGTGTGTGTATATCTAATGTTTTTGTGTGCAATGAAGACATTAAAAGTTTATTTCAAATCACTAGAATTTGATCTTCCTGCAGAGGGTAAACCAGAATATGAGAAACAATGTATATTTTTTCTCATTACCTAGCTTATAGATTTTTAAATGATCATCTAAGAAACCGAAAATATGTCAGAGAAAATGTCCACAGTGAATCATATCAGACTTAATAGACTTGGATGACATGTGTAATTTCAATCCTTGAGTTAAAATCAATCATGTCATTACCATAAAGCACCTATGAGAAATGAAGATTTTCCTTCATCAGGAAGATTTTTAAGCCCCCCATACTGAGGGTTCTCATACCTACAAACCAGTAGACATCTAGGATTGCTTTAGTTTTAAAACAGGTTGAGAAAATTAGGTGTTTGGGTCAGTTATAAGGGATCTGATTCCACAAGTGAAGAGATGCATCTTATAGAATCAGAGCTACCTAGAAGGTAACTCTTCTTTTGAGAGGAAAATATAGGTAGCATTTTCCTATATGTAAAATATGACCAATAAAGTGCTTTTGACTAACTTTACTTAGAAGAATATTATGATAAGTAGTTATTTGTAGAGTTGTACTCTCATAAGTAATAGCTACAAATACAGTCTTGCCTAAGGAAACTAAAAAAAAAAAAAAATCAGTACCCAGAGCACACTTGAAATAGTATTGGTTATTTTGATATGGTTTAGTTGACATATATACTTTACCAAATATTATAAATGCCATCTTAAATAGCTATTGTCCTTCTAGGGATTCTTTAGGAAAAGCAAGTTATTTTGACTTCCAAATTTTCTATTTGTCCTGGCTTTTTTATGTCCAACTAATACATGTAACACCTCATTTTTTCAAAGGATTTTTTTCTTATAGAATATTTCAGATAGGCAAAATGTATTGAGAATAATGTAATAAACACTTATGCATATTTGTTCACAGAAATATTAATCTTACATTTCATTCCAGTGACCCAAACAAAACAAAAAAAAGGTGTTGACTAACAGCTAGCAATATTGTAGGCAAATGTCTGCTTTTTATGTAAGAGAGTTGTAAAGTTTCTTCACAATAGAAGATACTCTTCTCAGTCTTCCTTCTTAAATGATTAAAGTCTGTATAACTTCATCATTTGATATATCTTATTGTTGAGTATATAGTAGTCCATTTTGGGTCCATATAGTAGTCCATCTGCATCTTTGGGTTTCCTGTATCAGTACCACTGCTTAGAATAGCTTTAGCCATGAAAAAATGGTCTCTGGCCTTTGGAACAATAAAAGCTCTATTTCCCTTTAACTTTTCTGGTGCTGCTCTGACTTTATTGAAGCCTGAAATGTGTAAAAAGATTCATAGTAAGGATGGAGCTAAGATGTAAGAAAGCTTTAAAAAATATTTATACATAAATTTCTTAAATATCTGAATTATTTTCCTACACAAGTAATTTTTGTGATTTTTTAACATTACTTTCCAACACTTTATTATTTATATGTGTATATATGTTAAATAGATAATGTTATTTATATGTAAATAGCCTTCTGGATAATGAGGGAATAACTTCTAGCTTTTGATTGTCATAAATATGTCATCCTAGGAGGACCACAGTTTACTTATGGTAAAGTGATTCAGTGAAGGTCAGAAAATTGCAGTAAAGTGATTTAGTGCAAAGTAGATTTCCCCAAAGTCTTATGATGTATTAGTTAATTTTACTGTGGTACTTGTTAAAATTTTAGTGTGTGTTCTTTTAAACTAGGATAAATAGTGAGATTATCACTATATTTGCTTCTTTGTCTCCTATAATGGAAAAGAACAAAGCAGGAAAGCTATTTGAACAGTTATTGTCTATTGAAAACAGTCTAGAATGTGTGAATCATGTAATTATATTCTTGTCAATTTGTTTCATAAGTTATGATCAGTAATAGGTTACATGTTGAAGTAATGGACACAAAAGTCAAGCACAGATGATTCTACTTTGTAAGTATGGCTCCTTGTTTTCACTTGCTTAATTTCTTAAGGGTTAATTACCCTTTCTCAACATTATGTGTTGTATAGAGATTAAGATTGTTTAAGAGGGTCTGCCATGTATATGTAATTTATCTAATTTAAAATGAAAAAATATGTTTTCAAAATAAGCACTTTACATTATTTTTTGTCCACTATTTCTAGGTGTATCACAATTGTTCCTGTATTGGAAGGAAAGTAGAAATAATACCTACTGCAGCAAGTACTGGTTTTGAAGCTAAAGCTGGAAAATGTGAAACTCGATGTATATACTTGCCCGTATTCCTTGGTGTTTTCTTTTGTATAGTGATTTTTACCTTTATGGCTGGTACTCCTATAACTGTGTCCATCCTAAGGTATGTATTATACTGTGAAATTTTCCAACCCTGAGGCAACATGTTGAGTGGAAAGAAAATGGACTCAGGGGTTCATTTGGGCTTTATATTGACCATTGGCTCCAGGACCTACTCAACCCTTATGTGATCATTAATTCTTATGGTAATGGAAATGCTATGCAATTGAATCCTGGATGTGTGAGGTTTAAATGAGATCATGTATGAGAAAGTGTCTTAACATTGCCTTACTGGTGTGCACCTGATGGTAGTTTCTCTACTTTCACGAGGCTTCTGTTAAAAGCCGGAGCTCCACTCGGTTGTATCTGAGCACGACGGAAAAACAGCACACTCCATCTGTGTCAGTCAGAATGACGTGCGTTCTCTCACAGGAGGTGTCCTGATAGTAGACCTTCCTGTGGACAGCGATGACAGATAAGAAGCTGGCTGTCACCTGGCTTTCCGCTGAGCTTTGTGCTTGCAGTTGCTCTTTCTTCTTCTACACTGCTTTACAAAGGGATTTCCTGTCTGCTCTTCCCTGAACTCATCAGCTTTACTCCTCCTTCCCTAACAAACTCTAGTTGTTTTCCCTCTTCAGTTTTTGTTCCTTGATACTACCTTTTCACATATTTTTTTGACAAATGGAAATTTTAGAGATTCTGTATAAAAATACTAGTCTATTAACATTATGTTACATGGAAATTACAATTATTTAGAGGATAGAGAAAATACTTTTTAAAAATTTACTTTTGGAAGTTTATCTATGTCACCTTTTACCTACATATTTTTTTAAAAGACTAGTTGATCTCTTTTATCTTCCACTTAATGTGCTAACATCATGACTCATTCACCTTTGACAGTCATTACTTAAAGAATTGTTGTTTAATCATATTGAGCCTCTGCAACTGTTTTACATTGCCTCAAAATTGTACCGGTCTCCCTAGGTATGATTTCTGTCTCAAAGTTGGTAAGAGAGTAAGAATTGTTTGCTTTCAGCTTAAGCCATGTGACTTGTGATTTAAACAAAAAAAAAAGTCTTGCTAATGAATCTTTCCTCCTTTATAGTTGTTAAAATTCAAACGTGTACTCAATACATCTATAAAAATTCATTTGACTGTTTGGTGTTATTTGAAGTATTTTAGTTCAGATAATATTTTTCTTCTATTATAATTTTAGTCAGACTGAACTGTATATAAGCAGTTGCAAATAATTTATTTCATGGATATAACACTTACTTTGATCTAGAAATGGTAAATTGGTATAAAAATGAATTTGCTCAAAGAGTGAACATACTATACCACCAATTTTCATTTTGTATTTATTTAATATCTTCAGGTGTGTTAATCACCGACAACGGTCTCTAGCACTGGGAATACAGTTTATGTTGCTTCGATTATTAGGTATGCTATTTTCCTTAATACATTGGTAACCGTTGGTTATTTTTGTTCATGAGTGTTATTGATTTATTTATTTATGGTATGTGCCAAGAAAACAATTTAAAAACAGGTGGAAGATTACTTTATTGTCATTGAAGAAAGCTGTTTTTCAGTACTTAAGATGTACTATTATTTACATATCACGTAAGAAAATAGTGACTTTACCTTTTACCTACTTGATTGGTTAACTGTTTTTTCTAATTCTGTTACAAATACAACCTTAAAGAGTATATAATATTTATTTGAAATATATAATCATCAACACATTTCTAATAGAGCAAAGTAAAAGATACACATTTTTTTCTATTCACATAAAACCTATTCCCGACAAAAATTATAATAAAGTCTTGTTTATAACTACTGTAATTCCTTTTCTCCCTGCACTTATCTCCATTTGAGATAAGATTATGTTGCATTAGCAACAATGAAAAATAATGAGATCAAATGTTTCAATAAAAACTGTGATGCAGATATTGTGGCTACTTAAGATTGGTGGAAGAGAGATTTTATATCAGAAAATTTCATAAAGTTCCAGAAGTAGGAAAAAATAGAAGAAAGAAATATTATGTTACACACAGTATTATACACATAATATTAAGATCATTTATAAAAACAAATGCCAAAAGCAAGAACTTTATAGATCCCCTAGACCAACTTTTTCATTTTTCGGATTAGTGAATTATGGGCCTGAAAGATTCAGGGATTTTCAGAGCATTACTCAACAAATGGTGAAAATGAGAGTAGGAAAATGGTCTTAATTATCCTTTCATCCTTACTCAGTCCAGTGCTCTTTGATTCTGTCATGCTGCAGGTCATGAAAGAACAGGCTGGATGTAGTTGAAATCTGTCTAGGAAATACCACTTCAGATCATATATTTGATTTGCAACAGCTGAAGCTCCTCAACTATGTGGAAGTTTTATGCCTCATGACCTCATGTGGCCGAGACTGTGTGTTTGAGATAGTAGTACTCCTAGGCATATTAGTGTGAACATGTGTGTGTGTATACATGTGCACTCTTATGCACATGTGTATATGTAACACATATGCTGGAGTTCAGACTTTTTGCATCAATAATTTATTTTGATTTTTTTAGTATAATAGCTAATTTCAAAGACATTAAATTAGAAAAGAGGTGAATTTATTTATTTAACTATTAACTGCATATATAATTCAGATTTTATTAAATAATTTTGGGGATTGATTAGAAATATATAGTAATTATGTATAATTATTTTAGAATTGTTCATTGTTTCTTTATATCACTATTGTACATGAACTGAGTGATTTACATATGGGGAGATGAATACCTATTCTTATTTATATAAAAAATATATAGCCATGTATATAGAAAGTTTGTGGCTATAAACTAAGTTTCACTGATGCATATTTCATAATTCTTCTAGGCACAATCCCTGGACCAATTATATTTGGTACCACAATAGACAGCACATGCATTCTCTGGGATATTAATGAATGTGAAATTAAAGGAGCTTGCTGGGTTTATGATAACTTGAAGATGGCCCATATGCTAGTGACCATAAGTAAGTGGTGACTTTTTGATAATTTTATAGTAAATCAATGATGCTAACAGAAAAACAAATCTTCTTGTCACTTAGGTTTTGTAATGTTCAGTCCACTGTGTTGGGTTATCCCATAGTCCTGAAGCAGAGATCAGTTATCACAGCATGTTGTGAAAGGCTGTAACTGGAGTCTACGAGGCTCAATCTAAAATAGAGGAGAATGACATTTTAGCTTGCATTGCAGCACATATCATATAATTTTCTTTTAACAACTTCTCCCAAACCTTTTTTGGAAAATCTCACAGAAAGCTACAAGAGAATTCTGAGAAACTCTCTGGAATGTTATCATCTAGGTACCTGGAAGGCACATAGAGCTGAGGTAGAAAAGTATCTTTTGGCTCTAAGGTACATTATAAGAAACCTTTTTAAAGTTTAGAAGGTTAGCTATGATGTTTAACCCTTTTTGCCTTTGGTATCTATCTTGTATAGTCTTGGTTAAATGATAAAGGAAAATTAAGATTTAAAAAGTAGAGCAATGCACCTAGTTTGTAAGAATAAGGTAAAATTTAAAAATTTAAAAACATCCTAAGAAAGTAGGATATTTAAAAATAGAGGTGGAGGGTTCAACATTGTGGTATAGGAAAAGCCTGAACTCACCTTGTACAGACACAACAAATTTATGACTGTGTGGAGTATTTGCCTTTGAAGAGGACCTGAGAATTAGATGAACAGCACCTCCACAACAAAAGACAAAAGAGACACACTGAGAATGGTAGAAGGGGCAGAGACATGGCCTCCCCTAGGACTCCAGCCTAGTCATGGTGACCCCACGATTCAGAGGGACCCCAAACATCTGAGACACTGCCTCAAGGAGTGAAGGGATTATACCCCACATCAGGCACCCCTGACCCTGGGGGCTGACACCAGAAAGATGAGACCCCAAAATGTCTAGTTGTGAAAATCAGTGGAGATCAAGACCAAGAGATTCATAGAACCATAGGAAACAGAGATCCTGCTCTTTAGGGCTTGCTCATTCTACGATCCAGTTCAAAAGCAACAGATTAAAAAGAACCTAGACCATAAGTGATGGAGACCCCCTTACTAATTTTAAAGTGGCTGCTGGAGAGACAGGAATCTGCTAGGACTTTATGAGGGGACAGAAGCCCTGGCAGGTGCCAGTTTTTCAATCTCATTCTTACTTGCTGGTGACAGAGCCAATAAGTGCACTTTCATTGCCTTCCTTCTAGCTTGCTAAAACCAGAGAGCATGGTGTGTCCACCCTGTGCCATAACCAGGCTGGGCTAGAGACCTGCATCCCATTGGCCCCCACACACTGCATGCAGAGACCCAGCCACAGTCAGGATAGCAAGCATCTGCCTGTCTGCCTCACTGAGTGGCTGAGAAGCAGACAGGCTCAGTTAGCTCCCTGAGCGCCCCCCTACCCACACAGCAGCCAAGCCAAAACTGGGCCAGGTGAGCTCCCTGAGCCCAGCCCACCCCACACAGCAGCCCCGGCCCATTCACAGCTGGGTGGGCACTTGCAGCTCACACGAGCAATGCCTGTAGAGCATCTCGCTCTGGTGGATGGTGGGGGTACATTGTCCTTCTCTGCTACAGGGAAGAGTACCTACATGAGACCACAACTTCAAGACTAAGGGAGGAACCCATTGTGCCTTATGCATATGGACACACACAAAGAGTTAGGCAAAATGTGGAGATAGAGGAATGTGTTTCAAACCAAAGAACAAAGCCTGTCCCTGGAAAAAGACCTCAGTGAAATGGAGATGAGCAACCTACATGGTAAGAGTTCAAAGTAATAGTCATTAAGATGCTAACCAATCTTGGGAGAAGAATGGATGAGCACAGTGAGAACTTCAACAAAAAGATAGAAAATATAAGAAAGTACCAAACAGAAGTTATAACTGAAGTGAAAAATATACAAGAGGGGTTCAGCAGCACAATGGATAGAACAGAAGTACAAACTAATGAACTGGAAAACAAAGCAATGGGGAACACCCAGAGTGGCAAAATGAAAAAAAAGCATTAAAAGAAGTGAAGATACCATAAAGGATCTCTGAGACAACATCAAGTGGAATAACATTTACATTATAGGGGTCCCAGAAGGAGAAGGGAGAGAAAGGGCCAGAAAAATTACTTGAAGAAGTAATGGCTGAAAACTTTCCTAATTTGGAGAAGCAAATAAACATCCAGGTCCAAGGCCCAGAGAGTTCTAAATAAGATGAACCCAAAGAGAAACACACTGAGACACGTTATAATTAAAATGCTAGAAGTTAAGGGTAAAGAGAGACTCCTAAAAGCAGCAAGAGAAAAGGCAATGTATTATGTACAAGGGAAACCCCATAAGCCTATCAGCAGATTTCCCAGCAGAAACTTTCAGTCCAGAGTGGTATTATGTATTCAAAGTGCTGAAAGGGAAAAACAGGACTAGAACAAAATTTCTAAAAATTGTACAGAACCAAAAGAGCCTCTGAATAGCTAAAGCAATCTTGAGAAAGAGGATCAAATTTGGAGGGGGTCACAATTCCAGATTTTAAACCATAGTATAAAGCTATAGTAATCAAAACAGTATGGTACTGGCACAAAAACAGACATACTGATCAATGGAACAGAATAGGGAGTCCAGAAATAGAACCATGCACATATGGTCAACTAATACAATGACAAACAAGGCAAGAACATACAATGGAGAAAAGATAATCTCTTCAATAAATGGTGTTGTGAAAACTAGACAGATACATGCGCAAAAATGAAATTGGAACACTTTCTTACAATATATACAAAAATATACTCAAATGGATTAAAAACTTAAGTGTAAGATCTAAAACCATGAAATTCATAGAAGAAAATAAGCAGTAAGCTATTTGACATCCATCTTAGCAATTTTTGGTGCATGTGGAGGTATTATCTCCCCAAGCAAGGGTAAGAAAAGCAAAATTAACAAATGGGACTCTATCAAACCAAAAACCTTTTGCAAAGGAACACAAACCAGCAACAAATGAAACGGCAACCTACTAAGTACAAGAATATACTTACAAATGATATACCTAATAAGGGGTCAGTATCCAAAATATATAAAGAATTCATTTATACAACTCAGTAACAAGAACACAACAAAAACCTGAATTAAAAAATGGACAGAAGTCCTGAATAGACTTTTTCCAAAGAAACATACAGATGGCCAACAGACACATGAAAAGACACTAAACATTACTAATCATCAGGAATGCAAGTCAAAGCCACAATGAGCTACTACCTTTCACTTGTAATGACTACTATCAAAAAGACAAGAAATACAAGTGTTGATGATGATGTGGAGAAAAGGGAATCCTCATACACTGTTGGTGTGAATGTAAACTGGTGCAGCCTCTATGGAAAACAGTATGGAGATTCCTCAAAAAGTTAAACATATAACTACAATATGATCCAACAATTCCACTTCTGGCTATTTATTCAAAGAAAAATGTATACATATGTTCACTGTAGCATTATTATATAATAGCCAAGACATGGAAGCAACCTAGTGTCCACAATAGATTAATGGATAAAGAAGATGTGGTGTGTGTATATATATATATATATACATATGGACACACAATGGAATATTAGCCATAAAAAGAATGAAGTCTTCTATTTGCAGCAACATGGATGGACCTAGAGAGTATTACAGTGTATGAAATTAGAGAAAGACAAATACTGTATTTTCATTTACATGTGGAACCTAAAAATGAAAGCAGCTGAACAAATGAAACAAGCATAATCAACCTCATAAATACAGAAAACAAACTGGTGGTTACCAGAGGGGTAGGGAAGGGCAGAATGATGGGAGAAATAGGTGAAGGGAATAGAGAGGCACAAACTTCCAATTATAAATAAGTCATGGGGATGAAAAGTACAGCATAAGGAGTATAGTCAATAATATTATAATAACTTTGTATGGTGACAGATGGTAATTAAGCTTATCATGGTGATAATTTCATAATGTATAAAATATCAAATCACTATTTTGTATATCTGAAAATAATATGAGCATCAGTTATAATTAAATTTAAAATTACAGAAATCCTACAATGTGTGAATTTTAGTACAATTGTCATTGTGATTATTTATTTTAGTACATGTATCAAGATAGTCTTACATATGTTTAAACCCAGAGTATGATGTCTTAATTATAATAGAGTAATAAAATATCCACTGAAGAAAAAAATACTTAGATCTAAAAAACATGGGAGAGGAAATATTGACTATAATAGGCAAATTCAATTTTCCTACCACTTTTACTTGTTAAAAAACATTTTTTATTTAAAGTTTTTAAGTTTAAATATTTGTTTAATTGGCCATGTTTGTACTCTTTGACCAAAAGGTAAAGATAATGAATTGCTCCTTTTTATACTCTGTGATGATTTGAGAATTTTCCACCCAAAACGTATATATCTTAAATTTTCCAAAAATACTGTAGTAGCAATACCTATGTAATAACTAATCTGCCTATAAATCTAGAAATGCCTAGCTCAACAAACATTCCTGTTTTTCAAATACAGTTGATCTTTGAAAAATGTGGGGGTTAGCAGTACTAAACCTTGCATAGTCAAAAACCTACATATAACTTTTGACTTGCCCCAAAACTTAACTACTAACAGCCTACTGTTGACCAGAAGGAAACCTTACCAGTAACATAAACAGTCAATTAACACATATTTTGTATGTTAATATGTATTATATGCTGTATTTTTGCAATAAAGTAAGCTAGAGAAAAGGAAATGTTTTTTAAAATTATCACAAATTTCCAAGAAGTTTTCCAATGTATTTACTGAAAAAAAAAAGTCTGTATAAGTGGACCCATGCAGTTTAAATCCATACTGTTCAAGGATCAACTGTACAAACTTTGAGTAAAATATTAATGATTAACACACATTCGCTACTGCAAAACTACATTGTAAGATCACTTAATTTATTCAACAGGTATTTAAATGCTTTTACTGTAGCCAGAACCAATTTATCTTCACTCAGTTGAGCTCAAAATTAAGAGTTCTTTGAAAAAAAATCAAAGCTTGTGAAGATAATCTTTGTTTCGTATTTCTACTTGATACTTAGAAGTATCAACTTTGTAAAAAGTAAATTTGGTGGAGTAGAGAATGTGGTATATTCTCATAAAGGCTTTCTCCTAAAAACTCCAAAGCCTTTTTCATTTTTAGAATTATTTCCCATCATAGACATGAAACTTCTAAACTTATTTTTCAGGTTCAAGGATGTTATAAACTATTTTCCTTGTCATTGACTTTTGGTTGCTTACAATTTTTAATAGATATGATATTTTTTAATAGAAATGGAACATGGATTTATTAATTGCATATAACACTTGTTTTATAAGAATAGAATAATTATTGCACATTTTTTATTCCTTAGAAAGAAAATATATTTAATTGAATTGTATACAAATGTTTCATTGACGAATATCACTTTTCTCACTGAAGTTTAAAAAATTTGAAAGTAATTATAATACCTACATATTTCTCTGTAAAGTAGTACATTTCTATTTATGAAGAGTTCCTCAGTGAGAATTTCTGTGATAATTAAAGGTTCAAATGCGTGATTAATTTTTGTTTTTATATTTAGGTGTTATTTGTAAAATCATCACCATTTTCTTCAATGGGCTTGCAGTCTTTTTGTATAAACCACCACCATTAGGCATGGATGTGTCACTTCAAAATCAGAATACAGTTGTGACTACTGTATCAGTAGAATATGATCTCAACCAAGCAGGAAATGAAGGGTGAAATAGAAAAAGAAGAGACTTTTACAGCTGGAAAATTTGCCTCCATTTGTAAGAGTGCACATTGCCATTGCAGCATTATCCTGCCAGTATGGACTATCATATTTTAAAAATCGATATTTTATAACTGAATGTGTTTTCTGTTTATGTTTGGACTTCTATTTTCTTTTGATGTCAAAAACAGACCTGTGCCTTCAAAGCTCACCAAAAGCCTTAACAGATACACACATGCTGTCACTCATATATACACATTTTCCCATTTTCTAGGTATGAAAACCCCAATAAACTATACTAGAAAAAAAAAGGGCCAATGATTATTTAAAGCTTACATTTTAAAAGCAAAGTGATGTTATTGTGTCCCTCTTATGACTTGTTTTATTATTGTTGCCAATAGTTTGGGCTTATTTAGAAAATATATGATATAAAATTTTCAACCAATCAAACATATGTGATTATTTTCAAGAACTATTACTGAAAGTTCATGAATTCAAAAATAGCTGAATAATATTATTTATTTTAAGTTTTACATATACTGTTCTGTTCTCTATCAGTTACTGAACTGTTAGACTATAGGATAATTATCTTGTGTCCCAGTAAATAGTGAACACAGAAATATCAGCATTTTATATAGTTTCACATTAACTCAAGAATTCTAGGAGGTGATTTGTTGATATTGCCTATTTTTAACAAGTACCTTTTATGATTCTCTGCTAGTATTCAGTTACATGTCTTACGGAGAAAAGAACCAGCTTCATTAAGAAAAGTGCCAGTTAGAGACGAAAAGTTCTTTTTCAGTGTCATAGATACATTTTCTTTGAAAAGATTTCCTGATGACCTATTGATTGATGTTTATATACTCAGTGATTTTTCTCATTTGAAAACTGATCACCTAGTATTTTACTTATAGCACCTAAGAGTGCTTTGCTCATAGTAGGCATGTATTATTGTTGTTTGACTAAAACAGAAAACTTAACTCTTTATCTGATCTATTCATTTGAGAGATAAAGCATTTCATGTATTTGATAATATTTGATCACATATTTGATTACACTCCATTTATGTAAGTCAGACATAGGCCAATTTTATTTACTCAGAATGTGGAGGAAACAGATCAGTGAACATCAGCAAAAGTAAATTCTTACCTGGTCAAGAACTTTACTGATTAAAAGACTGTTTAAGTTCATACCCATTTGAAGTTTTCATAAAAATAAGGTTACTAATTTAATAAGATTCATTATCAGCTTTCCCTAGGTTAGCTTTTTGGAAGCATTGTGTTAGTTACACTGTGATCAGAATAACAGAGGAAATGAAACCAGGACTAGATGGACTAGTAATGTAACAGAGCATAAGAGTTTGTTTGGTGGTAAGCCAATGATGAATCAAGAAATTAGTAGTATTTGTGAACTGAAATGTAAGGAGTGAATTGGAGTTAGGCAAGCAAGCACACTTGAGTATTAAATAATTAGAAGAGCACAGTGGGTCAGGAATCAGAGACAGAGCTACTTCGACCAGGAACATTTGAACACCAGAGGTTGAAGCCAGATGGGTAGTCAAAACCTAGGCATTTGGGAAGCAGGAAATTTATAGCAACCAAAGAAGCAATGAAAGGTAGGCAGGGGAACCTCAAGCCTGTGACACCTCAATTCAGGAACAACTTTCCCACCCAGTCAGAGACATCTTAAATGCTGCTTCCTGTTGGAGCCAAGGCTAAAAGGGGAGTTTAGGCTTTCGGTGCCCTGTATATGGAAGCAGGGAATTGAATAGAAAATTTTTCTAGCTTTAAAAAAAATGGCAAATCCCAAGGAACTCATTGACAGAGATGTGAAACAACAACAAAAGAGGAAACAAAATAAGTATATATCATATTAGTCTAAGGCCTTTAATTTAGACAGAAGAAAAAAACCACCCCATACATAGAATTAGTTTGATGAGCAAGTTGCTAAATAATTACAATTCATAATAATTTTTAGTTATCAAGGGTTTCATTGTATTCAGTGTACTCAAATTTATTAAATGATACTTTTTACAGACTTTTTAATGAAAATGGTTAATGTGAAAATAATTTTGGCTCTTGAAGGAAGTCAGACTTATTTATAACATACGTATTTATAAAGAATACCTCCATTCATGATGGGGCAGTATATACACTACTATAATTTATAAACATTGTTTATACTTTTGCATCACCTAGATTATATGGATTGATATGCTATTTTTAGAACAAAGTTTTCATAGTATGTGTTTTTCACAATTTATGTGACTTCAAGTAAGACTGAGTCAAAGTTTACCTCTGGTAATTTTGTACATAATTGGAGCTTTGTCTTAAAATTTTTAACATTTGGATTTTCTTAGTTGTAGGAAACAAATGTAAAACTCTTACATAGAAAGATCTGTATAAAATTGGCTTAGGTATTTAAATTGGAGAAAAATATAAAACTTTTGCTCTATTTTCTTTCAAGACTATCTTTGCTTCAAACAATTATGCAAAATGTATATACATATATTTTTTAAAATCAGAATGTTTATACTAGATTAAGTGTTTCATCTTATTAAATGGTACAGATTTTGAAATACAATTTCCTTCTGTTTATGAATACACAGACATTTCATGGTGGGGAGAGGGAATATCAGTGTACCTTTGAAACATGGTAAATGTAATTAATCTGGTGATTTCTCAACAGGTGTTTTAATCTAAACCATATTTGTTTTGAAATATGTACTAAAATTCTTTCACACGGTAGTTTCCATGTGTGGACAGTAGACACATGAAATTTATATGAATATAATGCATGTTGCCTATGGTTGTGAAATATTTAACACTGCAAAAGCAATGTAGTTTGGAAAGTTTATACTTAATTCATCTAGGGGTATCAAAATAGTCAGTACAATGTTTTTAAAGAAATCAGAACAGACATTCATTTGAGATGCAATGTCCTTTTCCCTTTAGTGTAACACATTAAGGCTCCTTCAACCTTTTTTTGTACCCCAAACTATAAACATTGCCTTAGACATTATATGTGAGTGATCAGAAGTAAATACAAGACATAATCTCTTTTTAATAGATCAGTCAGTAAATCAGATAAAAACGTTTGTTTTTGCTAAAATTAATTTAGCTTATAAAAATTATCAAGAATTGCCATCTCAATATTTTCTTTTTTTTTACATCCCATGATTTATTTATTTTGTTACTGCAAGTTTGTACCTTTTGACCCTCTTAATTTCTATTCTACATTTTTTTTTTTGAGAGGGCATCTCATATTTATTGATCAAATGGTTGTTAACAACAATAAAATTCTGTATAGGGAATTCAATGCACGATCATTAATCAACCCCAAGCCTAATTCTCAACAGTCTCCAATCTTCTGAAGCATAACGAACAAGTTCTTACATGGTGAACAAGTTCTTACATAGTGAGTAAGTTCTTACATGGTGAACAGTGCAAGGGCAGTCATCACAGAAACTTTCGGTTTCGATCATGCATCATGAACTATAAACAATCAACTACGTTATTTTTTAAACTTTATTTTGAAACAATTTCAGATCGTAGAAAGGTAGAGTTGTATGAGAATAGGCCCTTTACAGGTTGTTTTTCATGATTCCACATTTTTTAGTTACTTTTCTATCTTTGTACCTTTTACTTAGAGAAAACTCAGAGGAAATAATAATTTTAGAATATTTCTAACTCTCTACTGGTGAAACATCTATTCCTTAGCTTTTGAAATTCATTAACAGGTTTGGGTTGAGTGGTCGGCAGCAATGAGTAAAACTGAAGTCCCTGGGAAGTTTTAACAATTAGCACTGTCCAAGCCCTATCCAAGCATGAATAAGTTTGTTTGTTAAAAATTCCCTAGGTTATTCTAAAGTGAAGCCAAGGTTGAAAACTGCTGAGTATGAATCAGCACATTGAAGAATATGGGGGGAAGGGCATTAATCATATTTTGTTGGCGATTCAATTACATTTTCTTCTCCTTTTTATCTCCAAGAGAAAGTTTGTTTGAAGCAAAGAAGAGAGAATAATGGGAGTAATTTTGAGAGTTAAGATACTGATAGGGTTTCTAAAAATATGGAAGCACTTTCTGTCTGGAGTAGGATAAGGTGAGTTGAGGAAATTGGAAAGCAATGGAGAGAAATTTACCTGTTTTAAACTTTCCCCCAAGGCTCTTCCTTTCAGAAAAAAAAAAAAAAAGACAGAACACCACTTAATAAATTCCTTCTTTTCCTGCATCAGTGAGCTACCTCCCTGATAATGTAGATGTAACAGGATGTTTCATGAAGAGATCCGAGAGTTGTTGGGTTGCCTGCATGACATCATGTACGGTGATGTGAGAGATTCTAAGGAAAATGGTGCATATTTGACATAATTAAGTGGAGATGCTAAAGACACTGACAGACACAACACAAAGACTTCCTGGCACATTCTCCTCTGCTATACTCTTGAGATCTTTCAGACTATGGAAACAACTTATTCATCTAGCTTCCCAATGACAGAATGCTCCTACTGGTTCTTGCTAGTTGTCAAAGCAGAAGCTTCCAAGGAAAAGAAAAAGTAAGTCACTATGAAATGTGTCTGAATTTTTTTTTCCTTCTCCTCATTTCCTTGTCTTATATACAGCCTGCTTTTGCATTGGTTAGTTTAAATCATTCCATTATTGGCTTCCCATTCACATAAGTAAATGCTGTAAAGACAATTACCGTATCTGTGTTTGACAGGCAATTTAAGTTTTGACAATTATAAGTGGCAAAACATGTTGGGTAACACTGTTCACGAAACACTTTAAAAATATCAAATTTAGGTTAATTTAGGGAAATTTCAAGTGATGTAGGGAAAATGAGGCTGTTACTGCTTTTTAAAAATCAGTTATTGCTTATTGTGTTTGAAGAAATGTGCTAGGTCTATTACACATTTTAAATCCTACCAATTGTTTCACATGTGAAACAACTAAGGCCCAGGGAATTAAGATTTTAAGACCAAAAAGCTAGTAATTGTCAGAGCTAGAACTTGAATCCAGGTATTTGTGACTCCAAAGAGTGGGCTTTTTTCATTTTTCATTGGAATATGCTGAGGTTAACTACACAGAATTTTTTTTAAACCTGAAACACAACTTTTAGTTATAGGGATTATCCAAAATCTCTTTTAATACTTAAAATTATATTTTGTGAAGTTACAGTTAACAAGCAACTTTGAGGCACTAGTCGTAAAATTGTGCTGGTCTCAAACCAGTGTCGAATTTAAATCCATTCTTCTTTCCAGGTTTGCAGCTTATGTTTTTACCAGAAGATGGCGGTGTTGTGTTCATTACCACAGTAAAGGTGCTTTGCTCCCTGAAATTTCCCTTTTCTTCATGGAATTATTTCTGCCTTTTTGATGAAAATTTCATTTGCATTTCTTTTACTGTCATTGCTTCTGTCCTTCTAATGATTTTTCCAGGATTCTTTTCTCATTGCATATCATTGGAGAAAGCTTTCCAGTTAGATCAGAAACTATATAATCACTAACAAAAATTATTTGGTGGACACAGCTTTCACTATTTTTGACTTCTTTTCTTTTTAGAAATAGAATGGTGCATATTTCTGATTTCATGGGTTTTCTCTCTAGATACTGGCTAAGAATGAATTTTTTATTTTGTATTTTATTTAAAAATTCCAAATAGCTATTGAAATTATCTCCCACAAAAAGAATTTGATCCTTAAAAAGCATAGAAAACAAATACCAAAAAACAAAACATTTCAAAATTTTGGCCAGGTTGTCTTACCATTGTTATGCATGAATTTGGTACATAGTAAAGTTATTAACATTTTTTACTCTTATGCTGGGATTTCTTCCCATCAGTATAAGACCTCCTCAAAACAGAATTAAAAAAATGAATCTGAGAATATAGATAATACATTCTCATGCTTATTATATTCTTGCTATTCCAAAGAGATTTCACTTGTGTTTATAATCCTCAAACCCTTTTTGGCTAGCCAAGAAATGCATTATGTTATGCACCTTTCTTAGAAAACTGCTTCTCTCAAAGTTTTCTTTTAAGCCAGTTTGGGCTTTACTGTGCAGTGTTATAATCAGAGTTACTCTCTTCAAAAACTTAGAGTCTAACTGGTAAAATAAAGCGTAAGTATGTGAATGTTAACATGTAAAACAATTCAAATTTTAAACAAAAAGTCAAAAATTAAGCTTCCAGAAACATTTTGCTTAATGCCAGAAACTGTTCTGTGCTCCAAAAATTGGGGTTGTGGAGGTGGTGGGGAGTGCTCTGTCTATATTTATTCTTCAGGGGCTCATGGACTTTTGCAAATAGAACTGTATTTAATCAATCACATTAAAATACAGTTCAATTTTACCACCAGGCATTTTTGTAATGGAGTTTGATGTTAACCATAGAATTGATGATAGAGAATTATACAGCTCCTCCCTCCTCACCTCTCCTCAAGACTGTGGTCCCTATCAATAAATCTATAAGGAAATATCATATGGAGTGTTCAGATTGTTACTGAAACACAATCGGACTGACACAATAACTCTATCTGGGATTTTATTCAGCAGAGTAACAACTGTGTTAGTTATTTGAAAAATGGTGTTACAAAGCATGCCTGATCACAGATGACTCCCACAGCTCTATGTCCAGACTGGTTAGTTAGAGTCATCTCCGTAACGGAGTAGGCAGTTTGAAGCCCTGATTATCCATCCTAACCTCATTTTCCACAGGTGCGCTGCTTTTTACTTTACAGAGGCCAGAGACTATTAAATAGGACTATTATCATTTCCTGTTTACATCTCTTTATGCCCTGTTGACAAATTCACATTTATCTGTCCTTAAACCCATTTCAGTGGCAAAGAGGTCTTTCCTTTTTAAAGTTAATCTAGTGCCTTCATTCTGTACTGCATCCCCCTCTTCTTTCTCAGGATCTTACTCAATTTCCCTCTGGTCTGTGGAATATATATCAATCCTTCTCTCTTCTGTCTCTTTCACATGTAAGGAGTTCAAGGTTTTCTCTTCTGTAGAAAATTCTCTCTCTTCCTTCATGCCTTCCGAATGCCTGGCCTGGCTCTTTGTATTCAGGCGTATAGTGACTTCTCCCTTGGGCTAAATCACAGATATCATAAACTCAATTTGTCAGCAAGTGAACTCAACATACACCCTGCCTCGTCCCACCCACTCTGCTTCCTTTCTTGCCTCGCTTGCTTTCCACTCTAATGGCTGTACCCAGCTGACTCCCAGACTCCCTCGGCCTTTTCATTCTAAACCCATAAACAATCCCTGTCTTGACAATTGACTATAAACCAGGAACAGATATTGCATATAATGGCTATAATTTCAAGGAAAGGATAACAAACATAGTTTAAAATTTTTTTCAATAAAGAAGTATTCAATAAATGTATTGGGTTGCACCATGTGAAGCCGAGTAACAGGATGACATGTCTAGATCTAGACTAAATCTATATTTCTCCATTACCTACATGTATTGTCAAGAAACAATTGAATTAAGGAAAAATCAAGAATGATAAAATACTAAATTGAATTTCTTGGCTTAAGTATGATAATTTAATAATCTGAAATATGAATCACTTGCTAATATAAACTGGAAACAGAAATGCTTTTTGTCTTGAATTCTTCTTTTCCAGCTTCATAACACCCTGCTGATTGGCCACAGCCAGTCCTGGGAAATAGCTATGAAATAAAATTGATGGTTATGAATAATTTATAATTTTATTTCATGAGGGTATCAAAGCAAAAATTGATTTGTCTTGGTTTCAGATGTATGTTATAGTGATTTGGTAATTATATACATTACTAATGATTACCACAGCAAGTGTAGTTGCTTCATTGCTTATCAAGATATAAGAATATTATTGATTATATTCTCTATGCTATACTTTCATTCCTGTGACTAAGTTACTTTATAATTTTAAGTTTTCACCCCTTTATCCTCTTCACCTAT